GTTTGCAAGAATCCCGGAAGATGTCGACCACGCCCCAGCCAGTAAGCGAAGAGCTGTGAAGCCATGACTGGGTCCCATTTGTGGTACAACACAACAGTAAACAAAGCGATCGAGATGGATGTAGATGAAGCCAAACATTCTGTGTTGGCAACGATTCCCGGATCAAGGATTTAAAGAAGGAATAAAGAGAATGTTTGGTGAATTTTATCAAGGGGAAAGATGCTATTACCCTTCTTCCTTTGGGATTTGGCGCATTACATACGTCACAACCAAATAGCAGCGATTGGTTAAATAAAAAAAGTACCCGCCAAACGTCGAGCGAACGAATCCTAATGCTGCTAATCAGACTAAAAACATTTAACATTTCCTTCCATAAAATAAGACAAAACCTACCCAGACATGTGATGTAGCTGTTATTTATCACTTAAGTAACTACAGAACAACTTTGTATAAATAAAATTCAAACATTATGAAACCGACTATAGCCCTATTCGCACGGGATAAGTACAACCTTGGGACGTCTGGTAATTTGCAAATTACCGCTCCACCTCTGTGTTACTCGCAGTACATTCACACGGGAAAAGCAAAGTCTGTAAATTACTCTGTTTTACTGAGATTGACTGAGATGGAAAGAGAAAAGGCGCACAATTACAACAATAAACACAGAGACGCAGATTCGCACAGGACTAGTTTTATCACCCGACGTCTGTTTTTGGCGAAATATAGTAGGTAATTTGCAGTGGAATTTTGACTTTACAAATTACAGACATGATGTATTTGCACGGGATCATGATCTAAGGCAGGAGTGTCAAACTCATTTTGGTCCGGGAGCCGTATCCAACCTACTTTGATCCCAAAGGGGCTGGATCAGAAAACTCATGTCATATAAACCCCAAAAATAACAATAAGTTCAAATATTTGTGCAGAGAAACACAAATCTATTACAGAAATCTTTTTTAATGGATGAACTCTTTCTTATTATAATATTATAATATTATGAACAACCTGAAACTGAAACCTGAAAAATTCAATTTCAACACAATGTTTTAACATGAACTTGTATGCAAATAGGAATAAGTTAACTTTTCTTGGAAAATCCTGCACTCAGCGTCCACTTTTCTCATTTTTGACATTTTTCTGATGAGGGTGTCACGGTCAACAGTCAAAACGATCGTCCTTTAAGAGCGTTTGGAAAGAGACAAGTCTTCATTTGTGCTGCTCTGGTGGGAGGGGCCACGTACAGAGACGCTGGAGACGCTGCTGTGATAAACACCACAGAAAATTAACAATATTTTAATAGAAAATATAATTAAAATATTTTAGTAGAAAATCACCCAAGGGCCACATTAAAGGTCTTGGAGGGCCGGATCTGGCCCCCGGGCCTTATGTTTGACACCTGTGATCTAAGGCATCCTCTGCAATTATTACAAATCATCGAAGGTCCACAGGTAAAACTAATCCCATGTGAAAAGGGATTATGACTAGTAAATTTAAATGTCCAACCAGAACCAATATTTGGAAACCGATATCCAATCCAGCAGTTGTTTCCGTATTGGTGCCGAGATCCAGTACCAGAATCTTATCAGTGCATCGGAAATGTTTGAGATGAATTTCACAGTGAGCTCAGCTGCAAAGAAACATTGCCTTCCAAATCTGCGAACACGTGTTGCAAAAAGACTATATAACTCTATTTGAATGATTTGAATGTGCTCTTCTAATTGATATGATCCCGCTGCCGGAGCCACAGATGCGCAAGGCTAAAGGCTCGATTGTATTAACAGCAGCAGTGCACAAAACCCCCTGACCCAAACTGTGAATAGATGTAATTGTAAAGGGCTAGACTGAGGTTAGAACTGGTCTGCTGGGAACACTTCGCTAATGATTCATATCTGATATTATAGTCAAAGCGTTACATAAGCGCGAAGCACGAGGAAAACAAGTGGAAATTAAAACTAAATACGTCCATAGTGAGACAGTCGGGTTTTCAAATGGAGAATATTCATAACAATAAAATAGAAGATAATGTGAGGATCCAGTATCAAGAAATTGTGAAATTGTCTTAGACCTCTTATTTAATTTTGACATTATATTAGCCTTATCAAATTGCTTGGAAATAAATGTTTGAACAGAATATTGTAAAGAGTCATAGTATATTATATAGTATTCTCAAAAGTAAAGACATTAAGGCATCATCTTTCTTTGTCTAGACCATCGTCATGAAGGAAAAATTTTTGTTCTATAGACCAGGATTTTAAATGTATTTTCTCTAAGTTATTTGCTTTTTTTATTATTATTATTATTTTTTATAGTTTATGTAGATGCATTGCAAAAACTAAAATCCAGCTAAGTTAAAATGACTTGAACTAAGAAAGTTTTATCATGATTTGAGTCAATTTCACTTCACAAGTAAAAATGATCTACCAATAGAACAACTTTTTGTAGTTAAAATATGAAAATACATCTTGCTACACTTAATATAAGAAAAAAAAAAAAGCCCAACTCTTTGCACTAAAAATAAAAAAACGAAACAAAACGTAATGTTGCTTAAAATAAGAAAAACACACTTATTCCACTGGTAAATCATCTCACTCGTCAAGTTGAATCGACTCAAATAAAGCCAAAAGTTCTTAATTTAAGTCATTTTAACTTAACTAGATATTGATTTTTGCAATGTGCATTTACAGAGATGTATAGGGCCCATTGTGTCCTTGGGCAAGACACTTCATCCACCACGCTTTCCTGTACGAATGCAGTGTTTGGAAATGGTCGTATATTGGTGCTTGTTAAGCTTGGAAACAGCTCCCGAAACCCACACTGTTATTCGAGAGACCTTGTGCCTTACTTTAAACCATGACTCAGAGTAAGTGTATAAGTTTGGATTTCAACCCGCCCCCTTAATCCTTACTGCAGCGCTGATATTGCACCATGACACAGAAACAGAAACTGGGATAGTGTCGTGCTGTTGTTTCTACATGAGTCTCTGCCCACTCTGTTTTTTTTTCCCTCACACCTCACACATAATGCACAGAGAATCAACTATCAGGAGTATTCTCGGGCAGTTGTTTTCCCATAATTCGTAGCAAACAGTTTGTGTGATTGGATGAAATTTGGCGTCACTGGCAGTAGCTTCTCTATCTATTATTACGAGGGACGCAGCCGTTTTACTTTCCGATACCGATTCCAGTACCTGTAGCCTTAAGTATCTGCCAATATCAACCATTTATTCCCTTAAAATAAAAACAAAGCTAATCCTGCTGTGTTATATAGCTGTTATTTATCTCTCAATAAAGGACAAACATTGTGTAAATAAAAATTCTAAAGTTCTGAAACTATGACCAATAAAAAGTCCTATTGCATCGAATCAAATACCCAACCAGTATATTGTCTGAACCGATATTTGGAAGATATCAGATCCATCAAATTGTTAAGTATCAGCGCCCGTATCTGCTGCTTTCAGATGTGGTGAAGTAAAAGTAAAAATATCCACTTTAAAATGTACTCACGTATAGTACAGATAGCTGAACTTTTTACCGAAAGGTCTTATATCACACAAAATTGACGCCCTGTTTTCCTCAAAAACACACACGTTTGAGTAACAAAATGCTCTGTTCCACCTTGTGATGTCATGTACTGGTATGTGATGTGTCCAACAAAATGCATAGGTTATTTTTTTGGTTATTTATGTATTTATTTTGGGCAAGTACAGATTTACATTTTTATACAATGGAACATATAACATACGTGAAATCATAATAGAAATAAAAATAACCACAACAACAACAAAAAATTTGCAAAAAGGAATAGGAAGAAAACTTATTTAATCCCACCCCCACTCTTCTAATCTAACACAATGAGATTTATTTTGCATTTGTCAGACATTTTGCATTAAACTACATAAACTACTTACAAGTGCGGATAATGAGTAACTGTTATAGCCAGGCTTGCACCACCTAGTGCCTCAAAAATCAGAATACAATAGACGGTTCGCAAAAACCCCAGAAATGCAAGTTCGGGCTCCAGCCAATCAGCGAGGAGCCATATATTCAGTGTTGTCAATGATTCCTGAGATTTAAAGCCTGAACAAAGAGAATGTTTGGTGAATTTCATCAAGGGGAAAGACGTTATTGCCCTTCTTCCTACGGGATTTGGGAATAGTTTAACATACCAGTTTGCCTCGTTGGTGAAGCATTACTTTTGTAACTACCAAATAACACTGTGAGGTCAGACGGTTTCTACGAAGTGAAACCGTCTGACTGTTATAGCTTGGTAGAATAACGTAAGCATACCAACAATTGTAAGGTTAAGGATACAGTCAATGCACAGATACAAGTAATGTAATTGGCACATCATGGCACATATCAGCAACGGACAACACCATAAACCAGACATGTCAAACTCAGGCCCGGGGACCAAATTTGGCCCGCGATATAATTATATTTGGCCCGCAAGATCATATCAAATATGTGTTAGAGCTGCCCACCGGCTACAGAGACATTACTTAAACTTAAAATTACTTAAAATTACATAAAATTTTGTTAGTTTTTTTTTTTTTTTTTATTATACTTGTTCTGGATTCATTGTTTAAGCAAAAATATTATTAAACATTTATTTTAATAAGAAAAGGTTTAACATTACATATCTAGAAAGAAGAGAAAACATGCAGATGTCGTTGAAATTTTTCAATAAATATTTAATTTGGCCCACGACATAGTCCCAGTTTTTTATTTTGGCCTCTGTGAATTTGAGTTTGACATCCCTGCCATAAACCAAAACACCAGAAGGAAGTATTGTTCTAATATTATGACCCACTCTCTTTATACTGTGACCAGACCATATGTTTCTATATAACAACTTGAATTTATGGATATTTTGGCATTGTTCAGTCTCATACTTTCTCACTGATCTGCATTTACTTTATACAAGATGAAACAAAAGCCATTTATCGTAGCCAGGAGACCTTTAAGTTAAAATTCTTGTTCTTTTTCTGCTTCTTCCCACAGTTCCAGAACCCATACGCGTACTCCCCTCCTTTCCGGTTCGGGACTGTGCCAAACGGTTCAACGGAGAGAAACATCCGGAAGAACTACCCGGCCATGCACCAGTACATGGTCAAATACCACCAGACCGGAGTGACAGACGCCCTGGTCAGCCTCAAGTCGGGGTAAGAACCAGTCCCCTCTCTCAGTGTACGGACAGTGCCATTGAATTAGCCCGAGTCCAATACGCAGTGTAGCATTGTACGTGTGTGTGACAGCTCCTTTGAGACCGGCGATGAATGGGCTTCCTCATTGGGAACAGCAGAGGCTATTTTTAGACTGGGGCTCTATAATGGGACTGGTGCGGGTGTGAAGGGGTGCAAGGGAGAGCCGGGTGTCAGGGAGCTAAGGAAGGACAGATTAAAAAAGTGGATCAATTTAGTCTGTTGGATGGGAGAAAAGTAGAAGTAAAGATTGCGCTTAGGATAGATGTATGAAAAGAGAGAAGGGAGGGAGGGGTAAGGTATGGACAATACGGGGTTGGAGAGAATAAGAAAATGGGGCAAGGAGGGAAAAAAAAAAAGCCCAGCAGGTATAGAGGACGAAGGGTTGATGGGACGATATAACGAGGCGCCATTCCCTATTGGCTAATGGCCTGGGGGGCGGGACCCAATCGCATTTCTCCTCGTGAAGGACAGGCTGCCCCGCTGGGAGGGGAGGAGAGAAAGTTACCAGCAAACGTGACGCGCGCCATCATCCATAAGTCATGAGCGGAGTGGATGTAAACACGCTAGGACTAATAATCCTACATTCAACACACATGTTTTGAGTAACCCTTTGTGTTTTTAGTCTGCGTGAAATCTACCAGGCTCAAAATCCTCTGTTCCACCTTGTGATGTAGAGGTAGTTTTCAAGTTAACAGCTACGTTTTACCCTTGTTCCCCTGTACCCGATTCTAGTGAAGATGTATGGAGTTTAAAAACACAGTAGAGTTTCTGCTTGAGAGAAGAACTCAGCCTAAATATGCGGGGTTTGTGTGTTAAACATGTGTGAATGAAACAAAACACAACCCCAGGTCTGTTTGTGATGAGGAAACACTATAATATAGACCAAAAAGTATTGTAATGTGGCCCCTTTTAACTAGTAACCCATTAATACGTGTATTTACTACTATTTAAACAATATTCCACTACTTTCTGATGTATGTCGTAATGTTGCTTTCTCATCAAAAACATATCTGGAGTCGTGTTTTGTTTCATTCACAGATGTTTAACGCACAAACCCTGCACATTTAGACTGAGCTCTTAAAGGTTGTATAGAGGATTTTTTTTAAGGAAAGAGAAATCCAGCGACAGTCCTTTTTCAAATGTAGACACCACCTTCCTCCTCCACAGGTCCCTCTAGAAATAATTTAGAGACCGACACCTCAGTTTTTAGACCCTTCGTCCGCTTCAGTCGCGCCATCGCTGGAAGGAATCTCCAAGAATCACCTCAGTTTGTCTTCTCTCCTTTTCTCCTTTTTTTCTTTCAGCGACCTCAAAAACTGACTTTTTTTTGCGGCGAACTGGTCGTGGATTCTCGTCTGACATCGCAACAAACTTTATGCGAACTGCGAGAGAGCCACAATTAGAAAAAGCCCCTAAGACCCGCTGCATAGTTACCTTAGAAACGTAGGGAGTTTGATTGACAACCTAACAGCCAATAGAAAATGAGGCAGCCTCGTTTTCTATTGGCTGATGATTGGCCTCAACACGTCCACAGTTGATAGATTTTCTTTCTTTTTTTTTTTTTTTTTTGGTCATCATAATTACAAGGCTGCTGCGTCTCTGTAATGGTATTTTAAACTTTCACTGACAATTTGAAACAAACAAAAAATCCTCCATACAACCTTTAAGCCTAGTGATGTCATGTGGTAATACAAGAAGTGCTCCACTGTGTTTTTAAACTCCATACACCTTCACTAGAGTCATTTGGATCATTTTAGCTCTGGAATTGCCAATTTCTAGTAAACAAAAGGTAAAAGGTAACTGTTAACTTAGTTTATTATTGTTAGTTTATTTATTTAATGAGACGGACAGTGTACAATCTACATGAACCTTAACAGGAGAGATACATTGTACCAGGTTGTTGCACCAGTGCTAATTTTCACCTGTCGTCCTTGAGCATTGACATTAACTATCAGATGTTTTTCCTGGAGACCTGTGTAGCAAGCATCTGAAAGAAACTCATCGAGACACGTTGAGAAGCATGCAAACTCCACACAGAAAGGCCCGGGTGACTTGGGGATCGAACTCGGAACCTGATTGCTGTGAGGCATGAGTGCTAGCCAATCAACCAGACCGTCCCTATTTTCCCGGGACAGTCCCAGTTTTGAGTCCTGTGTCCCCTGTCCCAGCAGATTTATCCAAAACCATTGATTTGTCCCAGTTTTATACAAGAAATGCCCCATATGTCCCTGTTTTTGACCAATTTGATCCTTGCCAACAGTAAAGAGAGGCATACATTTACATTTGTTTAGGTAAAATACACAAACGCTGCTTAAAAATGACCAAAACACTAAGAAAATGTGACTACTGACTCACGTTAGTTCTGAATGTCATGAATGGGCCGAGTGCAGAACAATTTTCCTTAATCAGGCAAGGCAAGTTTATTTGTACAGCACAATTTGTACACAAAGTCATTCAAAGTGCTTTACAGAATAAGAAATACATTAAAATCACAACACAAACAAATCAAATAATACGCACACGTTTCACAATTTTATTATTATTATTACAAACCAGCAGTGTCCCAGTTTTTAATTCAGAAAATCTGGTCACCTTATGTTAACGCAGTGTCTTACCTACTACCACTTCATGACATCACAAGGTGGAGCAGAGCATGTTGAGCTTTGGAAATGTAGACAGACTAATTTAAAGAGTTACTCAAACATATGCACAGTGTTGAGGAGTAACAGATTACATGTACCGGAGTTATGTAATCAGAGTACAAATTATGAGTAACTGTATTCAGTTACAGTTACTGTTTCAGTGAGTGGTAATTGGATTACAGTTACTTTGTTGAAATAAGTGGATTACACAGAGGGATTTTCCTGTTTTCACATTTCGGGCTATATCCCCAGGTCTAAACTAGATCTAAACCAGGTCTAAAATGGGACTAAAACAGGACTAAACCAGGACTAAAACCAGGTCTAAACTAGATCTAAACCAGGTCTAAAACAGGACTAAAAAAAAACAGGACTAAAAACCAGGACTAAAACCAGGAGGTCTAAAACTAAAACAGGTCTAAAACAGGTCTAAAACAGGTCTAAACCAGGTCTAAACCAGGTCTAAACCAGGTCTAAACCAGGTCTAAAACAGGTCTAAAACAGGACTAAAACCAGGTTTAAACCAGATCTAAACTAGATCTAAACCAGGTCTAAAACGGGACTAAACCAGGACTAAACCAAGACTAAAACCAGGTCTAAACCAGATCTAAACCAGGTCTAAACCAGGTCTAAACCAGGTCTAAACCAGGTCTAAACCAGGTCTAAAACAGGTCTAAACCAGGTCTAAACCAGGTCTAAAACAGGTCTAAACCAGGACTAAACCAGGATTTAACAGGACTAAATCATGCTGTGTGGACGTGTCTTCTCTTCTATCAATAATATTTTTAATTTGGTTCAGTAAAGTCTAAAGTTTTTTTTTTTTTTTCTTTTAGTAAACAAAACATCTTATGTTACGATATTCTAGTCTTTGCTTCTCTACAGCAAATCAAGTAATCCAAAGTATTCAGATTACATTACTCACTTTAAGTAATTTAATGGATTCTGTTACAAACTACATTTTGAGGTATGTAATCTGTAATCTGTAGGGGATTACATTTTAAAAGTCACCTTCCCAACACTGTATATGAATGAAACAAAACACAACTCCGGGTTTGTTTTTGATGAAGTAACAACATTATAACACGGTTTAAAGCTCATAAGAGTAAAATTTTGTGTATTACAGGAGCTTTAATATGAGTATGCATCATGAATATACATTTATGCCGTTAAGAAAGGCTGTCATCCATAAGTCATGAGCAGAGTGGGTGTGCGGTAAACATGCTAGCGCTAATACTCCTACATGCAAAACGAAACACCGCCTCACTCGCTCGCGACGCCGCTACTAGGGACGCGCGTAAACCTCTCAGGAATAAGACACTCACTCGTGTATTTATATAAACAGTGATCCGCAGGTACGAGCAGGCGCTAACACCCTCATTGATAATTCTATTCGGAAGTATTAGCATTAGCAGGTGGGGAGCGCGATGCTAGGATTAGCCCTGATCACACGTAATGCTGACAGGCTTAATGCATGAAATCTGTTACAGGCACGGGCAGAGGAACTGTGCGCGGGGGGCTCGACTGATTGGATTAATATTTGGGCTGCTGAAGTCACTCGCGGTGCAGGGAACTTAAAATACAACTCTGAAATGACATCACTCACGGAGGAAGCCGCAGGTTTACCAGAAAGAGGCAGCTCGTGTAAAAAAGGATTAGTGTGCGTCTGGTTTCCACGGTGCATACAAACTGTCCTTAACCACGCAAAACATACAGGACGTAATATATTCAAGCAAAGATACTACTGCAGCTTGTCTGAAGTTTTGAGAAATGGGCCCAGTCAAGCAGAAGTAAACAGCAAGGCCAAAAATTCAAGTTAATGCATCTGATATAAAAATGTATTGAACAGATACATATGTACTCTAGTTTATGAAACTGTTTACCTTTTTCTGTACCATTTTTGGTTCTAAAGTTACATATGTTTTAAACAGACCATGTATGAAACATGGAACAAAAATTATTTCCCAAAATTCAAAAACCTGCAAATCATGTAAATAAATGGATGTATTTCATCATATCTTGTGTTATTCCATCTTTGAACTGTTGATGAAGGTACATGATTTAAAAAAATATATAAAAGTATTTAAAATGATAAAAAATTTGCTTGGAAGGACTGACATATTTTATATATTCGGAAGAAAAAAGCTGACAAATTATACAAAATCATGCACCTTCTACTCTACAATTTTCCCTCCGTTACTTTTCCCTCCGTTACCATGACTTTTCTTAATAAAAAATCTCATTACTCAAAAAGTAAGAGGTTTTTCAACCTAATCTTGTACCATATGGTAGAAAACTATATGAAGCAAATATTCAAACCAG